TCATTGATAACACCCTTTCCCGTTTCTGTACATCTTTCTACCACTCTTACTTTGCTGCTTGTATATATATCCTCACCTGTGGATGTGTCTTTTCCTGCACAGAATAACAGACACACTTCTGCACACTTTACCCAAGTGCTCTCCTTGTATGCCGTCAGACTCTGATGCAAGAAACCAAAACTCCTTGTACCCAAGTAATTCCATCTACTCTCTGAAAAAGGTCCTCATCCTGCAATGCTTCCCTGGAGCCAATCATTGCAACATCTCCCTGAAGGCACCACTTTTCAGCTGTCACTGAAATATTCTTGCCTTCTGGACAAGTCAGAATTCTTACTGATGACCATGTCCCTTTTTCTGAGTGTAGTTTTTAGAACAGTCTGATCATTACATTTGATATGATGATGATTTGAAAAAACCCAGACAAATATTAAACAATAATTTAAAAAAAAAAATCCACTGGATTTTTCCTGTAGACCTCAGACCAACTTCTAGTTCCATAGTAAGAAATGCAGTATCTTGCTTCTTCATCATTTTTAATAAGTGACAGAAGATTCAGGACAAGAACTGAGATTCAGACCTTTACCAACTGAGAAGCTGGTAAGAAGTCACACAGATCTCTCTCTTGGTGTTGGAAAGACTTTAAGGTATAGTTCCTCTGCTGTGCACATCATTCTGCTCTCTGCCAGCATACACCACTGTCTTCCAGACATGGACACTGATCCTAGCTAGGTCCTTTCCCTCCTCTTCTTCTCTTCACACTCTCTCTACCTCTTCATTTTCTGCCTAAGAAAAAAAGCAATTCTTAATCGAGCTTTCATTTTACTGTTGTTCTGTTGTCTTTCACATGTCCTCCTGTAATCCACAATCCTTCTCTCTAGGTTGTCTTCAGAGGTTGGTGGATCACTATCATCTCTCCTGATGCTTCTATCACCTTCTTTTCAAACTTTTGCCTGAAGTTGGGCATTTTTTCCAGCTGCATCTTTAGTACTTAACACTCCTCTTCTGTCAAGCATATAATTTATATCATATATAAATAGCCTCAATAAGATAGCCACTCAAAAATAATAAGCTTCCAGCAGCTTTTCCATCTAGTTATCTTCAGGTTTTTTCTGCTGCTGCATTAACAGACAAGCTGTGTTCTCTCTTTACCTTAAATTCACAGCTCAGAGGAGGAAAAAAAAAAGCCACTGATCTTAAAGATTTTTATCCTGTTTGCTAGCTTGCACCACTTTTTCTCTTGAGCTTTTGTTTAGGTCAGTTCTGCTATCTAATTGTCATTTGGCAGCTAACTGTTCATCACCCCCCAGATCAAAGGCAGGGAGTATACACACACTATCTAACGCAAACTACCTGAACAAACACCTTCTCTTTCCAAAAGTAAAAAACAGCCAAGTAGCAAAGAAAATATTCTCTTACTGGCAGAAAATATGGTTTTGCTTTTTCTTCATTCAGCACTAGTTTCCTACAAAGTCTCCTGTGTACCTCCATGTGTTTTCTGGTCTTCACTGGACATAAAAACTCCTGCCAGTTTATACCTGGCTGCTCATGGCTTCCGGACCTTATGCATCAACAATTAAAATACTCATTCTTAGGAAGCACAATTCAATTAAATTAAAGAACAGAATTACGGGTTCATCATATGTCCATCAATAAAATCCATAGTAAATCTTTTCAGCCTACACTAAAACACTCTCACTTTACAGGTGCTCTCTCCTAATGTCTGAAAGAAGAACTGGAACTCGTTGACCATCTCCACAATTATCTTCCTGCACTTTGAGCTCTGTGTTAGTGTAAAAATCAAACTTCAAAAAGTACCATTATGCAGTTCATCACCACAGTTAAAGTATGTCTGGAGATAGTAATCAAACAGATGCATAGAACCACCACTCCTAAGTCAGTCTTAGAAAACATTTTCATAGCGTAGTGACAAATAACGTATTACCATAATGACAAGATAATCCTGCATCCTACTGTTTCATACTTCATTTGACTTGATGTGGACAAATAAACTGGAAAAGTAACATATGGAGAGAGACTAAAAATTGAATATCATGTCCCTGTGCTGTATCAGCAAGAGCTAAACAAAACACATCAGTAACAGCCAACAGTTGTAGCCTGGGCCATCTGGTCACAAAGGCCCATATTACCAAGACTATACTAAAATATTTTAATTTCACTATTTTCCCTCAGGAATGAAGAACAATATGCAAAAGCTTAAATTCTGCTAAAAGGTGAGATTCCCCTACCTACAAGCACAGCACACCTATGACAGTTATTTAATTAAGAGAGACCCTAATGCAAATGACAAGGCAATAATCTCATTCATAAGTGGGTACGCTGGAAAGCCAGTAACAGCACAGAGAACAGCCTCTACACACGTATTTCCTTGTTAAGCTAAACGTTAATTTGAATTTTTGTAATTCATTAAAATGAACCAATTTTTTCACTTGTCCAGTGCAATGCCTCCTTCCTGATTTATATTACTAAACCTTAATGAATAAGGTCCTCTAAAATCCCCATTTTTTTTTTTTTGTTCATGCTATCGTTTCCTAATCGTGAAATAAAATGTAATTAATTGATCTCCATAGCTACAAAATACATCTGCAATGTCCCTTCACAGTGATTATAACAGACCGGAGACAGGAAAGTTTAAGTTCAAGAGAAATTCATACACGTCAGAAGCTGTAATTCATCAGTCCACGTAGTGCCCCCGTTGAGGCTTCTGAAGATAAATCCCAAAATATTGTGGAACAGGAAATAAATGTGTTTCTCATGCCTCACAGAAGTGGGCAACTAAATGAATTTTTTCAAATTCATGAAGCTACGTACAGCTCACAATAAACATTTAAAGTTAAATGAGGCAGATGATCAACTTTTTCTACAGTTTGTGCAGGATCTGAAACAAGCACGTGAACTGGGTGTCTAAGGCTCTCTATTTACTACAGACTATTATATCTCTGAAGACTTCATGGCCTCTCTTCTGAAGATCTCTGACATGTCAAAAAGATCTAAAAGAATTCCTTTTATTTTCAGCAGACTCCTACTGAATTTTTTAGTTAGGAAACAATACATTCTCTTCCCTACCATCAGTATGTTTGAGGATACAAACCTTCTTACTTATGCCTTATTAAGCATTCAATTGGAAATTACTGCAGTTGACCTAGAATATTTCATTTATTATTAGAAATATTTCTAAAATTTTTGTCTGACTGGACACATACACACTCTGTGTTACTGCTTGCAGTAGACTATAGCAAAATACTCATGGCTAGATACCTAGATTAGAAATATATTGAAAAAAATATATTTAAGACTTAAAACTGATGACAGATCAAAGTATTTCAGGATGCTGATCATCTGTAGTTCCTGTAATTTAAACATTGGTTGAGGACAGGTATCTTAGGGTCTTTGAAAAACAGGCTGCCAGATGTGTTTACACCTCTGTGTTTGTACATCATCTAATGCACTTAACTGATCCTTGACTAGCATTTCAGGAATGATAACAAATCAAGATGACAAGATGCTAGGAAAACATTTAAGTACAAATAGGACTCGATTCATCTCATTCTGCTTAAAGAGCCTCAGTTACCAGGACTAGCATCCTAAACTCCCAATAAAAATACTTAAAGAAGGCACTTCTGGAGGGCAACTCAGACCACCTTTGATCAAAAAATTCACTGTTCACGAGCAGTAGGGGTGGAAGGGGGCAGGGAGAAACAAATCAATAAAAAAAAAAAAAAAAGAGGGGGGAAAGACTGCAGATCTCTACATAAGTAACCTTTTTAATTCTTTCACTGCTTTAAAATTGCACAACAGAAGTCTTAAAAATTAACTATTTATCACTAACATATTAACCAACAATATTTACTTTAGCTATTGATTATTATTTCTCAGACACTGAAATGTTAAGGGAAAAGTTCAGAAATGGCTTTATAAAGTTCAGGACACATTAAAAAATACTTTGGAAAGAGAGAAAATCTTAAGGAAATTTATGAGGTCAGTATAAATTATTGACAAGGAAAGGGGAGAAAATTAAACATTCACAGATTATTCTTTCTTTTTAGTGGTAGGAAAACAACCTTTCCTAATTATTAAAGTTGCCGATTAGGTGCCAGCTGGCTAAATTACACATCGATCGTAGAATAAAACTCTGCCCTCGAGCTGTGCATTTAGCTCCAGCGATCGTATTGGTGGGAATTAGGAACAGACTCAACAGCTGTATTGGCCGTCATGTCGTTAATACACCTAATGTATGTTAAAGTCAGAGTGATGCATAGGTGTCCCTGTTTCAAAACTGCCAACATGCAAAATATATCCATGTAATTACAACTTCTGATGCCTAAATGGCCATTTGAGCAATTATTGGTGTTTTAGTTTTAACGATTTTGTATATACAAGCTGTATATCTGAAGTTCTGGAACTCCAGTTTGTTACAACTCTCATCTATAGTGTTGCCTGAAGACATGTGAAAAAACTTTCCACTTCTTTGTCAGACCTTTGCAAACAATAAAAAATAAAACTGAAAATGCATGAAAAGACTTTATTTTGTCTTCAGACACTAGAAATTAACTAAGAACAAAAGACAGTTGTACATGTAATGCCTTATGAACTCCTTCTAGGTCTTAAGAACAGAAACAAGACAATCCACACTACACAGTAGGATATTCTCACAACATTCCTGGCCTCAATTTCAGCCCCAGGCTAGTAGACAGACACACAGGTAGGCAGCAGCCTCTACTGAAGATAGCAGCTGCATGAAAACTTGCGTCTCTGACTAATGCTGTTTACCAGAACGTATGCTGTTAAAGTCTGCCATGAATGCAAAGCCATTTTCATCTGTCTACACAACACAGACAGTAAGACAGTCTTCTCTGATTAGCTTTATGCTTCTTTAGTTTTGTCTGGGATGTGACTACAAACACAATAGGCATGACACAATTTTACGAGAAATTGATCAATTACTTAATATCAAAATTTGATCCATTTCTTTGTTGACTTACCTTGCCAACAGGTCTGGGGAACGGTGGTCTTTGATTTTCAGGAATTAATATCGGAGTTGCCAGAATAGCCCTTTTTTGTCTTGGAAATCCAAGGTTGCCTTCTATCTTAAAGATTTCCTGAAAAAGACCGATTACAAACACTTTCAAAACAATATTCAGTTGTTATTTCCATTCCCTGCATCTTTAGGCAAAATTAACATGAACTACCAGATCCTAAGTTTTGTATTGTAGGTTTTCCAAAAGTTAATGATAACATACCAAACTATTAATTTAAATCTGTCAGGTCAATCCACTTATTACAGTGACACTGGACAGGCCATTTTCATTTTGCATTCCTTTAGACTAGATGTAAACACAAGCAAGTGTGTCTACCATCCTAAACTGATGTCTGCTTAAATCATAAATCTTAAACATAAATAAGATCTGGCTTACCTCAAATACCTACATGAGATCCGTAAAAAAACACACTTTAAACGTATTACGTAATTTTCACATTTCAAGTTGCTTCTATACTCAGTCATTTCTCAGTCCAGGCTTTTAATCAAACACAACTTACAGGTGAATTTGCTGAGACTGTCCCCAGCTAATGAACTCTCAATAAACACTAAAAGCTTGAAACTTAAAAACAAGAATAGACACTAAAACCCAGGTGTAACTTAGAATATCAGCTAGTAGGGGTTCTTTAGTGTGTAGGGTGTTTGGGGTTGACTTTTTTTATTTGCCTGTTTCTTAGAAAAAAAAACTTCATGGTACTAAATCTAATGAGTCTACCATCACCAAAACACTGCTCTACCACTTCTAGATTTAGCATCACTTTTGTTTGACAACAAACAGCAGCAAGGGAAACTCAAGCCTTCAACAGCTAGCTTTAGTCATGATAAGGTCAAAGAGCAGTGGGAACCACGCAGAGAATCCCTTCTCACAATTTTTCCAATTTTCATAACTTTTTGAGGCTCCCCCTGATACAGAGCTCCCATCTCTCTCAAAGGCTTGGCCAATTCTCTCTAATCTTTCTGTCTGCAGGCCACTTGGGTCCCTATTTTTGTCTTTCAATACATCTCCCCAAAGAATTTTCCCTAATAAAAATTCATGAGAAAGTTCAAGATAAAAGCATTTGAAGTGTCAAATAAAAAGGAAGGAGACGAATTCTGTCCAAAGGCAGAGCAGTAAGCTTTCAACATCACTTTCACTGTAAACACAGCACAGTTTGGCTGGCTTGTGTCTGTGACATTTCTAAGGAGAGTAAAAGTGACTATCAGTGTGTATAAAAGTAAATATCAGTTCTGTAGCTCAGTAGCGGTAGCCCTCAATTGATCACAATTTTCACTCGTGCTAACTCCTACCTTCATGGTTGCCCTTCAGCTGATGAAAGCATAAGGAAGAACTCCCAGATGCACGATCTTTGGAAATGAGCAAGACATTTATTCAGATTTACATCTTTGTATCATTGAATGGTTTGGGATGGAAGAGACCTTTAAAGGTCATCTAGTCCAACCCCCCCTGCAATGAGCAGGGACAACTTCAACTAGACCAGGTTGCTCAAAGCCCCATCCAACCTGACCTTGAATGTTTCATGTTTCTTTCTATGCTAGTTTGAGGAATAAAAGGAATTTTCAGATTGTCCAAAATCTAGATCTCACAATTTTGGTAGACATAGACCCATCAGCTATTAATTCATCACTTTCTCATGACAAGCTATCCTTATACTTTTCCAGCAAGTCCACAAATGGAAGAAAAAGCCAAATTATATTCAATGAGTCAACACTGCAGTCATTAAAACAAAGAAGTTAAGTTCTAAAGGAAAGCAGTAAGGTATCAACACTTAAGTCCAGGTTTCCAAGCAGGTTGGTTTTGTTTCTAAGCACAATTAACTTGTTGCATGGAGAAGAAAGCTTCTGCAGATTGGGCACAGAAATGTAAGCACTCTGAGTACGTTTCACACTGTTTATTCTTCGGATCTCACTGCTGCTTTTTAAACAGTGACTTCTTCACGATGATTTCTCTCTCTCTCTCATCATCCCTGGTGTCTAACAGCAACATGACTGATTAAATGAGTAGCCAAAAGCATCACTATGGAATGCAGGTAAACAGCAGGGAAGAAAAGGTCAAGAGTACTTCACTAACATGTTTAACAATTCACTGCTGTTTATGGTTATCATAATGATTTCCCCATTTGTAAAGAAGAGTGAAAAAGAAAAAACATTTTGCTTCATACCAAGCAGATGCAGCGGATGGTTTGATCCTCAACCAGTATATAAGACAGAAGCCAAGGAATATGAAGTTCTATGTGCACTTAGCACCTGATTCAACAGTTAAAACATCGAAAATATTCTCATTCATGTGTGCATATATTGAATAGGTAATAATTTTTACTGAATTCACCTATTTAATTTCTTGAAGAAGCAGCTCACAAGAGATACGAAATTACTCCAGACAGAGTTGGTAAATTTGCTTCAAATTTTCTTACAATATCAGCTGACATTGGAACAGGCATCTTCTTTTGCCCCTTGAAAGAAGTGAAACCCACAAAGGAGCTCTCCATCATCTTTGCTGGAAACAGCTCATCAAAGATTACAGTACCTGCCACATCTTTTTAGCAGCCATGATTCCAGACAAGTATTTATGTGCCAGGAGTCTGGAGAGCTTAGAATGGCATGTCCCAGACGAGTGGTGTTCAACCAGCACCCAGAGAGCCAATGGCTAAGATTGCCATCTGCTTCTCCTATGCCTCCTGCTTTGTTCAACAAACAGAAGCCTAAGGTAGGTGTCCAGAAGCACCCATCCACAAGTAAAATGTAATATTATATATATAGGTGAAATACATATATGCCTTCCTAAGAAAAGTGCACCAAAAATTAAAATTCTGGTTTCCTGATTTTTTTTTTAAACCAAAATGGTAGGAGAGAAACCCTACCAGGTTGTTTATTCTTACTATTTAACGGCAATATCACATCTGTGATCACTATCTTTCAACAGCTATTTTCATGGACAGTGGATTATATGACCAGAATCCAATTATCATTTCACTGTCCACCATTTCATAACCACCTTTTACACCCTACTTTTGACTATTAAATTCCCTTTCTAGACATGGAATCAGCAATAGTTCAGCACCCAATATTCTGATTCACTGGCAACAAAGCTTGATTTCCTGTTCACATTAAGCAAGACACAAGCACAGCCTCCTCATTTTTCCAGCGTTTAGGTTAGGATTTTTTTGAAAGATTCCAGTCTGCACAAACTATGATGCTACGCAAGTTGCAGTTTCTTTCTTTTTACCAGGGGTTCTTGGGAGCATTGCAGTACTTGAACATTTGAATGAATGGCCTACTCACTATCCAGCAGCAGGCACCATTACTCTTGGCAAAGAAAATTTCATTAGAACTTGTCATGGGAATAAGGTGGCTGAATACTGATATCAATTTATCACAATAAGGGTTGGAAACATCACTGGAGTGGCAATCTGTAATCCACTATGGAGACCAGAAAGGTGGTTATGTTTCTTGCTATTTAGTTGGTTTTATATACTAAGTTTGATAGTATAAAATGGGGTCAGTCCCAAATACAAAAAATAAATCAAATTAATTGTACGCTTGTTGCAAGCAAAATTCCTCTGAAATAGCAAATGGGACATCAGATTCAGTGGTATATGGGTCTTCCTACAAAATAACATTACTACATCAGACTCTCAAACTAAAACTGAACAGAGATCAATTTAAAAAGTAATTTCCATGTAATTCTCAGCTTAAATTTCACAATTGTGTTATCATACTTAGTTGCTCTATGTATGTTATTTCTATCATCAGAATAGTGTTATTATCAGCAGTATTATAGTTAATGATTTCTAAAACATGTTGAAAACCAGAAAAAATTTATTTTGTCAATAATATGAAAATCTAAGAAACATACTGGGACCTTACTTGTAAGTTAAAGAACAACTGTTTAAACAACTAATTAACTCAATGAATAAAATTAGTAATTGTAAAGGTCAACAGTATACACACAAACATCTGCTCAAAAGTTGTCTCTCCTCAATGCCTGTAAATGTCACCTTAAAAATCAGGTTGTACACTTTAGGAGAACAAATCCAGCTAAAACCTAGCGTGCTAAGGGGTATCAGGTATTTCAGAGCACATAAGCTTCCAGGCTTGTGGAAGCATGGTCAGATAGAACTTCTGGGTAACACAAATTGCTGGTGGAACTTGATTTAATTATGCTGGGTGTTTCTACTATTACATTGTTACACAGAGTGGCAGATCCTTACACTGTCTAACCGATATTCCCATTAACTTCGCAGACACTTGGTAATCTCAGACTACAGTTTTGCTGCTGTGCCATTCATCTAGCTGTGCTAAACGTGTTTTTATAGGATGGAGGTTCCTTTTATCTTTAGAGGAATCAAGAACATATTAGGAAAAAATTTATTCTTGTTCAAATCTCTTGGTCATGTTGCAATGCTAATTTATTCTGAAGCATTTTTGTAATGCATATGTGACAAAATGTCTACTATTGTGGAGATAAATCTGAGACTTTGCTTTGTGAAATTATACATTCCATTATTACCCTGAACCTCTGCAGTATCTTTTGTGATGGAAAAGTCCTGTTTCTCTTCAAGTGTAAATTTCATTTATCTTCACACCTGTCTTATTATGTGTCAACGAAAAGTTTTTCTGTGATGATAATGGACTAAATGCCATTAACTTTCTTTTTGTACACATTAACCATGGGGAGTCACCTGTTCTGAGAATAATACAGAAATAGACAACCAAGTGCCTTTTTTTTAAATTCACATTTCAGACTTTTTTTGTCATGATTTAGTGACTGTTATTTTCATTTTGAACCATATGTGAATCACCCCCTCTTTCAGGAAATCTCGGATTGGTTCCACACTGCTCATTAAATATAATGAGGTATCCCTTATACAGAAACAACCAAATATTCTCTGACTGCATCTGTCAAACAGCATTGCAAACATGGGTTTAAGAAAAAAGACAACGGCTGACCTCATGCCTCTGTCTTCACCAGGATACACTAACAACACATCGCTTATCACCGTTAAAAATACCCATCTCCCCATCTCTACTGTGCTTACACTGGTTGCAAACAAAACCAGCCTGCTTTTACAGCATGCCAGAAAAAAATCAAAATTTTGAAAGTTGTCCCAAAACCTTCAGCACCTTAAGTATATGTAGTGTAAATAAGGAAAACACTTGCTGACACAACTGCCCAGGCATACAAGCCTTAAGTGTCCTGTAATAAAAATTTACCTTGAAAAGAGGTTTTGCTTTGTTTTGTTTTTCTTTTAATTAAAGCATCTCCCATTGGGTTAGATACCAAACTGCTATTGAAAATAGTACTAGACACATAACGGAGTTCTGAAGCAATTAAAACCTTTCACAAATCTAATCCTTTTAAGACTTTACCAAAGCCCCATGGAAAATTCACTGCACAGCATGGACACAAAGCTGTAACTTCTTACTCTTAATATTCCTCCTGAGGCCACTGAGTGGACTCCTTTCTTCACTTATATTGGAGGAACACAAAATGTAAGAGCTCCCCTTTAACTCCCAGCAAGCTTCAGACATGTTGAAAACACCCTGATTTCCAGAGTGAGAAGGAGAAAGAACACGTAGAACACATCCCTCAATTCTAGGGCATGATAAATGAAAGATGAACCCTTTTGGTAGGGCAGTAACCTGTATAAAGCCACAAATCTGCACATCAGTAGCAGACAAGTGACGACTCTAAATGTGGAATAACACAAGCAGCCCGGAACAAGCTGTTCCCTGTTTCACTCCTGCAATATAAGGACAATTTATAATAACAAAAATTTATTTCTTATGTAAAATAAAACCTATTCATAGAAGAAGTTGTTGCACCTTGGAAAAACAGCTTTTTATATCTTACTGCAGGGCAGTCAGCTCTAAGTATAACGAAGAAACTAAAACATTTTATCCCCATGTTTTAGATTGCTCAATGCTATGGAATTCATTGCATTATAACAGCGCTGCACAAAAGCAATTTCATGATACCCTAAAGGAATAAAACTGTATGTTAAAGTCATGTATAATGTTTAACTGATCTAGTGACTGCAGTCCCAGTTCCATGTCTGAACAGAGGAGTAAAACACATTTTTTCCTGCCCCCCTACAAGACTCCAAGCTGTGATTACAATTAAAACCTCAGTCCTGCTCCCAAACAATTTTTTAAAGCTCTATTGCCACATATTCCTTGTTATCTCTCAATTTCTTCATCATCTCCATTCCCTTAGCAAACCAACCCCTCATCTAATTCCGAACATTGAGTATTTACCTTCCTATTCTTCTCTAAAGTCTGCATGATCCTTCTGT